CCCCAAAACCCCAAAACCCCAAAACCCCAAAACCCCAAAACCCCTTTCATTTTTTCCAGATTGAAAGTGATTGATAGAGTTATGAAATTTTAAGCATTTTAGCAAAGAAAATGGCAGAAATTTAGGACATATTATCGAAATATCTCTGCGGAACTGTAAAGATTATTGTAATGACAGAGAAAGACTAGCCTATAAGAGTGAGAAATGAAAATACTAATTCGGTTGGAACTAAGTTGAAGCTTTTTAATATCTAATAGACTTCACCGATGGATGGGATTTACAGAAGATTCGCTAAAGAACTATAGAGTATTATATCTTATAAGAGTTTCTTAAGCCTTAACGTCATCCATTCTAACTCGAACTGAATTAGACCAAGAAGCTTATAATAACTTTCACTTTTAGGGGTGATACAGAATGCAAACATGAAGTATGAACTCTCATATTTCTTTATCGTTGATAAATTTATAAATCCTACTTACCAAAAGTCCCTAATTTTTCTCCCTGAAAACCCCTTTTCTATTGATATTTTGGCCACTTCTTTTAGCCTATTTGCTGTGAGGAGCCATGGCTGGTTTCTCACTGAAATTTTAGGCAAATCATGATGCATGTAAACCTTCTAATTTTCTTGAAGAAATTCTGATTATTTCTAGAATCAACCAAAAATTTAGATAATTTCTGAAAAAATGCACTTAAAGACCTTAATCTTCTCAATCCAAAATGAATCGATGCTGCAAGGCATGGGGCTGAATGAGTCTAAACTTCCTACTAAAAAGAGGTCTCTAGCTTATAAGTCCCATCAACACAATGTCATATGCACGGTTACTTAGCTTAATACCGCCATCAGGTCTTCTTTGCCGGTAGATCTCGAACCCAGGGAAACCATCCTCACTTTGAATGCTAAGTTGAGAGGTTCATTTCAGCTCTGATCCTTCAGGTTTTAGCAGTAGTCAGTACTATTTTAAAATTTTTAACATCATTTTCTATCAAATATTTTTTAGAAAATTTAGGGCTTAGAACCATGTGAGAGTTCAGCGTAGGATTTGATTGCTTTCTTACATTATTATTCCGAAAGCTCTTCCCTTATTAAAGCAGACTAATCATAGATGACTCCAAAAGTATTTTGGGATGATTCCAAAGCTTCATATAATTATTAAATATAAAGTAGTTGATAGCTTTGATAACATGTACTAATTTTATTGCTTGTCAAATGGTTAGTGATACAGCTCAATTCTGGTTATTAAGGCTAGTCTGGTCATCTCAGTACCACTTTAAAGGTATAGTATTTTTGTACACACATAATTTTCCGAATTCATCAAAAAATTTACACTAAAACTTCTTAAAAGTTTTAGTGAGAAATCTAAACACTAAAATTTCTCTAAGACGGCTCTTGTTCAGGATTTGCTCTAACGATTCTAGATGGCTAGAGGTGCTCGAAGGTACCCTCTGTCAAAGCTTTTAGTTATGATATGCTTGACATAACTTCTGGTGATGAATAACCCTTTGCTCGAAGGCTTAACCCTTCTAAATTTTTGAAACAAGCGAATTTTTATAATAGAAAATATTTAGAAGTTACATGTTGCTGAAACATGCAGTTTTTGTGATTTATTTTAGATCTGAAATGGGAGACTCTGGTTATTGGCATTACTTTAAATAAAACTCTATGGGTCCTGAAGCTCAGTGCATCCTTAAGAGCTTATCTGGGAGTTGATACCAACTTATGCTTACGAAGTTAGTGCTAAATCTGAATGAAAATGACATCTAAATGGATGGAAAGAACCCTGGGTTGTCATGCTAAAGCATATTGATATCTACATGAAGCATTTTCCCCTACCCATCTTCGAGCAAATCTCAGCATCCAAGAGGAGATTTTACCTTGAAATATCCTCGATTTTGTTCCAAAATTCCCTCAATTTTGAAATAGATTTGGAAGGTTTAAGAAATCAGAAAATTTAGAAATGTTTTATTTAAAACTAAATTATGAATAGAAACCTCATGCAGACGCTGTAGAGATCAACTGGCTTATTTTGGAAGCGATTTCAGCGCATCTCTTAGTTTTAGTGCCTTTGGATCATCGCAATGTTCAGCCAAGTACTTCACTAATATCTGAAGATTCTGAGACTTCATGATTGCTCTGAACTTTATCATGGAGAACTTCCTTGTTGTTTCTAAAAATAGGCGAATTTCTTTCTTGACTTCAGAAGAGCATCTCATTCTGGATGGACTCTTGAGACTCAGAATGCCTACTAAGAAGTAAGCCAGGCTGGGAGTCACTTCTTCATCAGTCATAATCTTGAGGAGAGTGAGAGTTGAGCTTTCAAAAACCTGCTTTGCCTGTTAGTTTACATACCTCTTCCTGACAATTTCAGGGTTGTGGTTTTTAAATAATTTCAGGAAGAACTTCCTGCAAAATCTGAGGCAATCTCTTAGATTATGGTCCTCTCTCGTTGTGTTTTGAAGAAGCATTGGATGTCTGTCATCATCCTGAGAAGGAGGGGAGGGGTCAAGGTTAACACTACTACCAAGATTGTTATCTTGAGTAATCACATCTATCTGATTCCTTCATGGCGAATTTTCTATTACAGATTGTACTTCAGCAGACGAAAACCCTTGAAGCCTATGGCCTTTGTCTCTTAGATTTATCAAGGATCAACTATTTCATTGAAGAGCTGTAGATGGCTTCATACTGTTGGATTTAATTCAATTTGATCAGATTGTTTCTGAATAAAATTCTTTGTTTTGAAAGAAGCAATTTATATCTTTTGATGAAAGCTGAAAATTCTATAAAACTGTGAGTTTCTAATTTCTCAAAATTTCAAGCAAAAATTTGAGTTATTAGACATCGTTAGTCGCAATAAAAACCCAGTTTACAAGCTTGACAGACAGGATGCTGAATATTGATCACCCAAGAGTATGCTTACCATATTTTGAGAAGCCACACTGGCGAATACACTACCTTCGTAGATGTAGTCTTGCTGGGATAAAGAATACTCTGAATTTATCGAAGGATGAAACATAAGTGATTGGTGTTTCTAATTATTATTATTTCTCTTTCAGTATATCTTAAATACTGTGGGGTTTTGGGGTTTTGGGGTTTTGGGG